GAGAGAGAGAGAGAGAGAGAGAGAGAGAGAGAGAGAGAGATTGGATACTGGGTCTAGCGTGGGCTTTTGAAACTTCAAATCCCACCCCCCAGTGACACATCTCCTTCAACAAGCACACATCTATTTCAACATGACCACATTTCCTAAACCTTCCCAACCAGTTTATCAACTAGGGACTAAACAAACACATACATGTGCCTAATTTGAACCACCACATTCTACTCTTTGGCCACCAAAAGCTTGTAGCCATATTATAGTGCAAAATGCCTTTAGTCACACTTTAAAAGTCCCCATAGTCTTTCAGTCTTCAGACTGTCTAAAAGCCCAGTCTCTTCAAGGACTCCTAGCAATCTCTTAACTGTAACCTCTAAAATAAAACAAAAAAGCAGATCACATACTTCCAACATATAATGCCACAGAATATACATTATCATTCTAAAAGGGAGAAAAGGAAATGTAGTGAGGAAATACCAGACCTAAGCAAGACCAAAATCCAGTAGGGAAAACTCCAAATTCTGCATCTCCATGTCTGATGTCAAGGCACTCTTCAGACCTCCAACGCCTTCCAGATTTTTCTGACTGTAATACACATTTCTGTCTTGGGCTGATTACACACTTGTTCCATAGCTCTCCTTGGACAGAGATCCCACTGGTCTGTCATCTCCAACATCCTGAGGTCTCCAAGATATTACATGTTTATCCTTACAGCTTTACCCAATGGCTTCTCTGGGACTCTAAGTTCCACAGCAGGAATTTTCCTTAACAATGGAGGAAGATTCCATAGCCCCTTTGCTCTAAAGCCAGAACCATGTAGCTGAAGACAATAAATTCTTCTGCTTGCTTAGGCTGAAATATGACCACCTCTGTGACTTATATTTGCATAAGCTTTGACTTGTCCATGGTTTTCAGGCTGGGGAAATCCATCAGGCTTATTACTTCAACAGGTTGCAGGGTTAGCCAGCTAGTGTCTTGCCCTGAGGATATCACTCCCTTTATTCCTTTTTGAATTAGGCCTTTCTCTAAACTTTTTATCTCCTTGAACATAAGACTTGGCTCCAACATTACATTTCCTGATGTTCTTTTTCTCTTCAGACTGTACATTTTAGTGTTTTTCTCCTTGCTTGTTTTCCCATTCTAGATCTATATATGAGAGATTACTAATAACCATGTGATCCAGTTGATACAAGGCTGTCTTGAAATCTCCCCTACCAATGCCATTATAATGCAAAATTTGAATTTAGCCTCAGAAAGATTTTTTAGGACAGGGGCCAAAAGCAGACAAATCCCTCCTGTTCAAATATCACAAGAATGGCCTCTAGGCTACTTGCTATTATTCTTCCCCTCTGAAACCTCTTGATCTGGTCCTGCATCATCTAAATTGCCCTCAGCACCCAAGTCTTCTGTGCTCCTATTAGGAAGGCTCATTAAGCCTGGCTAAAAGCATTTAATTGTTTATCTAGTCCAAAGTCCCAAAGTCTACATTCCTCCAAACGATAGCATAGTCAGGCCCGTCACAGCAACATCACAGTCTTTGGTACCAACTCCTGTCTTAGTCATTGTTCTGTTGCTGTGAAGAGACACCATGACCCAGGCAACTCTTGTAAAAGAAAGCATTTGATTGGGGGCTTATTTATAGTTTCAGGGGTTTAGTCCATTATCATCATGGCAGGAAACAGATAGGCAGGGCTCTGGAGCAGTAGCTGAGAGCTTTATATCTTGACCCCCACACAGGCAGCAGGCAGAGAGAGAGAGAGAGAGAGAGAGAGAGAGAGAGAGAGAGAGAGAGAGAGAGAGACAGACAGAGAGAGAGAGACAGAGAGAGAGAGAGACAGAGAGAGA